CCACGAGTGAGGCATCGGTAGGGAAAACCTCGAGAAGTTCCTTGAAGGCTTCGGGAATGTCGGCGATTGGCAAGAAGGCCAATGCTGGATGCATTCCATTTGAAAATCAACAAGAAATAAAGTAACGAATTGGCTTACCTGAAGACAACAATAAGACATATAAATAGGATGCCCCATACCAGAACAGCAAACTCGTCGTCTGAATTGTAGCGACTCTGGTGACCACTGGAGCACACCTTCCTATACACCGACTGGGATAAGTGAAAAAAGCATCCCTGTATCGTTGATGGCCGCTATCTTGAAGTCCGTGTAAGCCACCTCAAGGCAGTTGGCCCCCCATGTGACTCAGAACGACGTCGAAAAACCTTAAAACGAGCGAGCATATTTTGAAGTGTTTGAACATATATCCAATAATAGGACCACCGAGCGTTTCGTTTTACTCGTTCATCAGAGCTCTTGAATGCTCACCTTTTGTAGGTAGCTTCAGATTTGTTGGGCAGCAAGCCGTAAACCATTGGCTTTACCACGCCGTTGACTCTGACATGCTCCGTGTACAGTTAGTAGAACTGTGCCGGCGTCACTTTAAAGATACCGTCCGTGAACCACGTAGTCGCCTGAGCCAGACAGCTCAAGTTGCGCTCGGTAGCAAAGATCAGGATTCTTTCGCCGTCGCCCTCTCCGCTATCGGGGAGGAGAAAGGAGTCTCCTTTGGCTGTGGTCTGCATGCAGGTAAAACAGTCATTATTATCATAATACGTCGCGCACTGTGATTTTGCGCTACAATACACTTTACTTTGAACTCTGTGGGCATTCGATCGTATGTCGGCTCTGCAAGATGATACGCTGTACTCGAAATTCGCCTGTTGCCTTTCCTTGCGGATGACGCGCCGAAGTGTTGGCGGTGCGGGAATCTGCAAAGCAGTGTCGTCACTGACACAGGCAACCGCAGCTAGAAGTATTTGGTGTGGTGCTAGACGGCCTTCCACTGGAATAAAGGACATTAGTGATCTTGTTTTGGGAATATAAGAGCAGGAACAGATTTTGGTACATACCAGCTTTTTCCTTCATCTGATGACGAACCCAAGCACGTTTATCTTGGTGTTGTCAAATGCATGCGTATGGTCTCCTGAATAAGAGATTACACGAGTCTTGGCGTGATCGGTGACTATTTTAGTTTTACAAACTCCTCTTCGCCGGCAGGCCCAATACAACGCAGTTTCGTAAAACTTAATGCAAGTGTAGAAATGTCCTTCGTGAAGAAGCATATCGCCACCTTTCTTAGTAGTAACTACCTCCATTTAGAAATCGAGAGTGATATTTTTTATAATCGGAGAGCAACCGGCATAATAAGCCCTGAAACGGGGCACAAAAAAAAAAAAAAAAAAAAAGAATCGCGTTCGGTGGGCTTTTTTTTATTGTGAACTTTATGTTCTCGAAGTTCTTTTGTAAAGGGGGTGACCCCGATAAGACAACATGCAGGCTAAAGGCTGCATGCTGCCTTAACTTGGGGTCATTGGGACATCCTTTGTTTCCCGCAGTCAACCTCACTGGCCTTGTACGGATTTAATTAAGTGGTCCCCTTTCGTAACTTTCCTAAGAAAACAAGATAGAAAAAAAAAACGTTTAACAATCTTGAAGTCATTGTGTGACGAACTGCCAGCGTGACGAATCACCCTATGACCAATGTTCCGCTGTGACGAACGGGCCTGTTACCAGTTGCCCTATGACGAATCGACATGTGACGAATGGGCCGTATCCCCTCATTTAGCACCCTTTGGAACGGACCTGTTTGTTTACAAAGCACTTCGGTCTGTGTCCAATCCGGAAAGCGTTTCGTGATCTCAGAATTGGCCGAACTTGCTTACGCAGGCTAATTCTGACTCAATACTCTTACGAGTATACAGTGCGTGTGCAGGCGAGCTGGTGAATGTTGGTCATGTTGAAAATTACCCGAGATTTTGGTAAAAGTTTCGTGGAAAAAGGAGATAAAAAGTTCCCTATCTCGTTTTTTTATTTTTTTTTTTTTTTTTTTTTTCGAGTACTTCTATGCATATTCCTGTCCATGTTCGTCTCTGTCAACGAAAAAAATAAAAAAATAAACAAACAACAAGGAAGCAAACTGGTTGTCTGTTCCGCTTCAGGGTGATCGCATTGACCCCTTCCTGAAGCAAAGGGTGGTAGATGTGAAGAGGGAAGGCTTTTCGGGTACGACCTTGCCCGGTCATTTGCGCCTTTGTGTTCAAGGACACCGGGTTCGCAGACAAGGCTGTTGTCCGACCCGGCAAGAGAGAGAGAGAGAGAGAGTGGCCAGCGTGGTATGTGAGCTGACTCATCCTTCCGCAGTTTGGGGAAGAGATTGTCATCTTGTGCGCTCTCGCAGCTGCGGCGTCTGCGGTTCTGGACGACGCGTTTCATTTCAATCTTCTTCGACTGGACGGACAAGTTGGATTTCCCCCTGTTCCGCGGTAGGTACCGGTCGCATGTTTTTTGGTTGCATCGAACTACCCGGTGTTTCGTGCTTCTCTTTGCTTTCCAAAGGGTGAACTGGTGGTAGTTTGGAAATGTTATGTTGATAAGCGTTATTTTTTTTTTCCGAGAACACTGTTTACGGGGGCGGATATCAGGGATCCTTTGTCGGCGGTTAGCATCACATGTATGTGTCGGCACAATGTGCAAACTATCGCCTTCCCATCAATTTTTTTTCTTCTTTTTTTTCATATTCGGAAAAAAATAGTTTTTGATTCCGACTGATTTTGCATTTCTAGCCTCAACGACCTCGTTTCAATTTTGCGGCACATGCCCAGGAAACTTGCAACACGGGCAGACTCGTGTTTAGTTATAACGTCAACGTAAATTAGCGATAATTCCTGGAGAAAGGGAACAAAGGGGAAATAAATACCAATCTCCAAAACAGAGCTAGGTTAATTATTATCGTCATTCTTGTCCAGCTCGCACGCACTTTTGCATTAATTGTATTATCTTCATGAAAATCAAAGAAAAAGACAGGACTAAGACTCTCCTACTGTTTTTTTCTTCTTCGACCTAAAAGTTTAATTTTTTCGCACCACACTCTCTGGTGTTACGCTACGATTAATTATCAACAGCTCGCTTGCACGCTTACTGTTATTTTGTCAGTGTTCAAGTTTCTCTATGTACGCTGATTTCGATAAGCCTAGTACTGACAAAGCGCTAAAAATGACGAATTTGACGTCAGTCGATCATTGTGGAATGAACGAATTCATTGACAAATATAGATCCGGCCAACTGCTAGGACTTTCATGGACGTGATTGCGTTCATTAACCAAACAAATTAGTCAAACGATCAGCTGAATGGATATGTATGCTGAAACATAGAAAACGTCTGTTATTTCCGGCGAGACTTGCAGTGTCAGTAAAATTCACGCTGAGAAAACACGCGCCGACGGAGGCGGTTAGTCTGGAGACTCTGAAGAGATGATGCGTAGAAATGCAAATCGTGTGCCTGAGGGCTATCTTTGTTTTAGCTCAGTTGCTAGCTGCACACATGGTTCTGACCTTTTTTAAAAAAAAAATCTTTTGTGAAGGTTTTTTTTTTTTTTTTTACTTAATTTTCTTTTTAGCAATCTTTTGTCTTTCAAACTTGTGTCGCGGTTAAAAGTAATGTCTGCTGCGCCGTGCCGGACCCGCCTACATTTCGAGGAAGAAACAAATTGGTGTTGTCACTTTCTGTTTTGCGTCTTTCTTTCCAGACCTTGCCTAGGGTTTGTCAACAAAAAGTACATTTTTATAACGGGCGGAGTGCGGTCGGGCGCGAAGTGGTTTCTATAAATTTCGGATGTCAAAGGAAGAAGCGACGCTTTTGGCGTTTAAAACGTGAACGTATTTTTTTATTCTTATTTACTTAAGTATTTCTAAAGTCCGCGGTGTGGTATTGCATAGAAGGGGACATCGTAAGAACCGTTTGAATAATTATGAAAAATTTACCATTACAAAAAAAAGATAGAAAAGAATGACCTCAAAGTGATTCTCCAAAACTGAAATCCGCAATCCATAATTACAGGCACCAAAGCACGCACACAAAGATAATTGCTAGTCGATAATTACGAGACAAATTCATAATAGATAGTCACGGTCACCAACGCATGCACCTTGAAAAGATGCTCAATATGAGCAGTCTTGATAAGATAACATATCTAATCTCGTGCACGGCGCAAAAAGCGCTTTTTCGTTAATACAAAAAAAAAACAACAAAAAACGTACTTTTTTTTTAGTTTGTGGTGTGAACTTCTGTATTTCCTTAATTTTGCTTTAAAATGTTCAGCATACACTCGCCGCCTTCCAGATTCGACCATAGGTCCGGTGCGTGTCAAGCCAACGCGTTGCCACAGCTTTGGCGGTTCGTTTTGACAATCCATTTTAATACAATATTTCTTTTCTTTACTAAAGGCGTGATTCACTAGCACCTGTGAACTAGACGTAAAGAAGAAAAAAAGTTTAAAATGCACTTTCATATATACCATATTTTCCGGACTATAGTCCGCAGGGGGAAATTTGGGGTCAAAAATAAGATTTTGCTTAGATAGCCCGCACCCGGTGCTTAGTCGACACGAAAGTCTTCTCATAGGCGGCACACGTTTACAAATGTCTGCTTTTTAGCTCACAATAAAGCCTATAATGTGCATATATCATCATTAACATACACTTTCGTGCACAAAATTCGTCACGTCTCGTCATAATAAACGATCTTGAAAAACATAATTCCTTTATAGTCCGCACAGCCAGAAATTTCAACTTTTAAACATGTATAGTCCGCGGACTATAGCCCGGAAAATACGGTATTAATTCTGTACATAAAAGGGGAGTTTAGTGATGCTCCACGAGGAACCCGACTCCTTTGCTACGGTTCTGGAGTGAAATATGACTAATCCGGAACAACATACGTATAAACCGTTAGTTCTGTCATGTAGTGTAGCGAGGAACAACAATATCCCGCATTAGCACGACAGACTACAACCATTTCCTTTTTTCACGCAGGAGCAACCTCGTTTCATAAACGGTCCGCCGACTGAGCGCTCCGGTCTGTCAACCCCGACAACGAATCGTCGCTTCCCGCGCAACTGGACCCAGACAGCGATCCCGGTTCGACGCCATGCCTGGTTTCTTCATCGTCGACTCGGTCCACACGCCGCTGCCCTGGTACAGCCTGATCCCCATCTTCGGCTTCTCGCTGTTCCTCCTCGGTGTCATCTGGTACCAGAGGACCGAGTTCTACTGGCTGACGGACGTGGCTCAAGACCTGCGCTCGTACTTCAGGACACGCTACCGTAAGGCGTCTCAACATAGCTGCGAGTCCCACATACCCTGGTTTATCTCGGGCAACTCTTACAACGGCGGCACCGTGGCCTTCATCGACGTCCACAAGCCCACGTCATCGTCCGCCGCCGCCAACCTGAACGCCGCCGACCCGTCTTCGTCGCAGAACGGAGGGATCGGCGTCGCTTCGCCCAAGGTCACCGAGGGTCGTCCACGTCAGGTAGAACACGTGCCGATTCATGAGATCCCTTTGCCTGCCGGGAACGGACCTGACGAGTGACAACTGGCAGCTGCCACTGGTGACTCCGACGTTTCTGTTTCCCTGACTGCTCGATGTTTAGTTTTCTGCAAGCGGCAGCGTGGTCAACATCCGCGAACCTGTAGACGTCTTGTGGTATTAACTTACAGTATCATTGAGCACAGTTCGGAAATTAGTCTTTATGGTCGGTGACAAGTTAGGAGCGCAGGGCAAGCTCTTCGCACAAGACTGTCCACTTTTTCCGCTTTAGTGGAGCGAAAGCTGAACAGAAGGTGAAGACAGATATGCCTCCACTCCTGTGTTCACTCTGTTAAAGTAGAAAGAAGCTTGCCCTGTCACCGACTATAATTTGGGCTTGATAAAATAGGTATTTCCCTAACTTGACTTGTGTAGCGTGTATATAAGTGCATGTCTGAATTCCTTCCATTTTGTGTATACATATTTTTTTTATTGTACAGAAGATTGTATGCCATGTAAGATTGTTTTTATTCCTCCGCACGCATCAAGTTCGTGTAGTGTTTTCTTCGTGACGTTCTGGCGCTTTCTTATTTCTTAGTACCTATTGTTTGTGTCCTTCGTTGTAGTGAGTAAGTGGGTGTGCCATTCATCCAACGTTATCAGCATACAATGGTAGGCACAAGCCGATCTAGATCCATATATCCTCGTTACTGATTCTTATTACATATCCAACGACGTTGCCTTTCATTGTCCGAGTTGTCGTTAGTCAAACATTGATCCAGTCATATTTATTGCGTCTTGTGTTTATTAAACACCATCATCACGCGCCGCCAACTTGGGAAGGTCCCGGATCTACAAGTTTAACGAAGTGTCACGTTCGAAAAACCGGGCTGCCTTGCCGCAGCGACCAGGATTCTGCGGTCGCTTCTGAGCACTGTGAGGATGTCTCTTTGTGTTGCTCACACGCTCGAAGTTCACCTCAGGGCCCCGTTGATCCGGCGGAGGAACCCCCGCTTGCGCTGAGGTTTCCGTTGCTGATTGGAGCAGCAGGTCCTCCTCCTGAATAAACATAGTACAGGAACGTCTTAATATGTTATGTTGTCTTCAAATTCCAGCGACACCTTAAGCTGACAGTGGGGTGGGAGCTACGCACTTGCTTGAATAATCAACAGCCTCCCCTCCACCTGACCTAGCGTGAACGCTTGGCGAAAGGTGGATTTCAAGAAAGTAGAGATTACCAAGCAAAGATTAAGTGAATGGTGGCAGAAAGCGAGAGAAAACTAGGTATTTTCTTGTTAACTGATGGCAGGGTTTTTTTATAACCTCACCTTCTTTGCAGTGCGGAGTGAATAGAGTTTTTACATTTAAATATTCTAAGCTTAAATGGTAAAGCAAAATGGCTAGGCGGCGTGAGCTACCGCCCGATCCAAAGGGCTCAGCCGGATTCATCCATCCAGGAAGGCGTATGACTCGTCCACCGAGCACGTAGTTTCTACTGAACTGTCAGCTTAGGGGTGAACGGAGTATTATTTGTCTCGAACATTTTGTCGCATAAAATATATCACGCACCATGACAAACCACTGAGCAGTCATCGACAAAGCAGAACTTCCGTTTTAGTATTCAGCCAGCACATGCAACAACGTGCCGATAACGTTCCTCACCTCCAAAATGATTCTGCAGGCAACCTCACACGACGTGAAGTCATGTGTGAGGTTGTAATTTGAATTGCTTGTCACTCAAGGCCTTGAAGTCGTCGAAATCGACATGCATTGCTCCGACCCTTTGACAGAAGCCGAGCTAGCAGCGAGCTCATGGTGCATACGGCGCCCGCCATTACCTCTGCAAACACGTAAAGCTTTGAAGTGCGGCCCCATATGTATCAATGAGGGCATCGAATCGAGACAGGGGACAGTTCCCCAGCGGAGTTTTCTCCTGTGGTACCATTGTTGTCATGTGCCTCGATTCACTGAGTCCCGTAGCTTCTGGTGCTTGCCAGGCTATGCTAAAACGGAATCGAGTGTAGCTTGCCCGCGGCACCTGCCAAGACAGACGCCATAGGTCATCTCCTTTTGGCTGTGCGGCACTTTAGTAGCGCCAAAACACAGCAGACAGGTAGAAGGAACAAACAGACCACGCTCTGTTCCTTTCTTCTTGTACTTGTTCGTTGCGCCTTGGTGCTCCTTTCGAGTTATGCAGGTCACAGCAACAACTACTTCAAAAACTGTATATGCCTTTTGCCGGTTACATCCACGAAGAACGCCGTAAGAGCTCAGTTAGTGTACTTATGAGTGAAGGCGAAATATTAAAAAAATACAAAAAAAAACACTCAAGTGCTTTTGTAGAAGCTTGCTTCTGATGGCATATTGTTTGTTGGGCTTTTAGCCAATAAAAATGACCAGTTCTAGATGGCAAGACGTTCTAGTAAACTCGGCAATAAATATACTTTAGTAAGGCACGTTGTTGGGCTAGTTGGTTCATCTTAGTAAAACATATAAAATAGATATAGTTTAGTAAGGCACGTTGTTGGGCTAGTTGGTTCATCTTAGTAAAACATATAAAATAGATATAGTTTAGTAAGGCACGTTGTTGGGCTAGTTGGTTCATCTTAGTAAAACATATAAAATAGTTACTTTAAAGGCTTTTTTTAATGTGAAGACACATAAGGAGGGTTTTCCGTTCCGAAGTATTGTTAGTTAGCGCCTGTCCTGTTTACTTCTTGTCCTTGTTTCTGTTGCGCTATTTTATATGTTTTACTAATAAATATACTCGCAAGCACTATTTTTTTTTGGGGGGGGGGGGGGGGGGGGATGGAATAGTCTTCGGGTTTCCACCACCTTCATAAAATTTGACCGATGAAAATAGTTGATGGCATGGAGATTCTGAAAGCTACTTCGCTCTTTGTATGCGCGTTGTGCATTATATTTGGACAAAAAAGTCAAATATTTGAGTGTAAGGAACGTAATGCAATATTTTTTTTTTTTTTTTTTTTTTTATATGGAAAACGGCGCTTATTGCTGTCTGCGATCCAAGGAGCAGAAAGAGGGGCGTTTCGCGAGCTTTGATTAGGTTTTTAATTTAAAAAATCTACCGCCAAAAATTTTTTTTTTTTTTTTTATGATGATGAGAGTCTGTAGATTGAACTAAGATAGACGATCTCAGAATCCACTTGAGTGCCTTTGTAATTTTGATTGTTTTTCATTTTTATTCCTAAACGTTACTTTTTTTTTTGTGTGATATTGAATGTTATGTTTTATTTATCACCAGATGCGGAAGGGGAATGAATCTATCTCAATCCTTCATACTTCACGTCAAGAAGGTTGGGAGTTTGGAGGACGGAGTTGGCCTAACATCTCACGATTATGACTTCCAAATTCATATCCTGAAAAAAGAATTTAGCGTAACAGGCGTGGAACATAACTGACCAAAATACAACATATTATGGCAATAGACGCTTTCCGGAATTCAGACTGGCAACTTTGATCACTATCATCATCTGAAAAATAGCATATCTGCTATACTAATGGCGGCCATCTGTTTAGTGATCAAAGAAGAAGTTGAAGATGCTCCTAAGCAGATGATTTGATGCCTATAGACCTTTGCAAAAATCGACTTCTGCGCGCCGCCATCTTGGTCTGCTGGCCTGTGGAACGCCTTCTGAGCATGCGCTGTTGATCTGTTTTGCGGTATATCGAACGCTGCGCATGCGTTTACAGCTCAATGACTCAGCATTTTTCTTCAGGGGATAAGCGCTGCAAAGGTTTATACATTCTACACATTAGCGCGACGTGAAACAGGAATCGGATGCAAGAGCTGTGTAAGCGTTCATTTCTAACTCGGGCCCAGTCAATCTGTTAGTAGCACACACTCGGCTTCAAAGCCCCTTGATGTATAGAATCTTATCAAGGCGTCTATGTGGGCTGACGGTTCGTTCTGACTGGTTGGATCTTTTTCGCCATCGACACTGAAAGAGATTTAAAAAGAACTGGTCAGTGACGCGCGCATTCTCATTCACCGTTGACTTGCGAAAGTGACGGTGCCCCATGCAGTACTGCAGACCACAGGTTAATCGCCGCCATTAGTACGGTAAAAGTCAAACTGCCATTTGAGTCACCAGATGGCACTGAATTGCGGAAAGGGTCTATTGCATGTCTATCGATGCCAACTGTGGATTAACCTGACAGTTAAAATTCAGCCTTTACTTGAACTCATAACGGGAAGCACCACTCGCCGACGCCATGGATGGATGGATGTTACTGGCTACCTTTTGTAGCGGGCGGTAGCTTGCGCCACCTAGCCTAAGTCTAAGAAAGACAAACATTTGATTCCTCGCGCCCTTCTAAGCCAATTTTCTACCCCCTAACTATCACCAGGTTCGTCTAGAAATGCCGATGGTAGTTGAAGATCTCGCCTAGATGTTTCAATATGTTATTTCTAAAACTCAATACAAGAACTGGTGACATTTACGTTTACACCCCGAACACATTCCAATGACGTGGAGAGAGCAAACATATGTTTTTGCCCACGCTGGAAGTTCCCCTATTCACAATAATGACGGCCGCATTAAAACAAAAATTAAAAATGAGGACGAATATTAATAAATTGAAAGTTCAGCTTGAGCAAACAAACCGTGTTAGAGAACAACCGCCTAACTGAACTCAGACTCCAGCTCGCATTCGCTCACAATTTGGTTCTATTGCATTTTTACTCTCGATTAAGTAATGATGAATGCTTACTCTGGAGCGACAGATGCTAGTTATCATGTAACCTAAATAAATCATTAGACTTTTTTTTTTAAGGTGGCAGATAAATTTATAGAGGCCAACAGGAAAGCAGCATGGATTGATGATCCATGGCTCCTAAAGCAAGACCCTTGTTCATTGCTCGCAATAATAGGGAGTTCCAGAATAGGGGGGCCCCAACGCAGCTAGGGTTTTAGCGTTGTGCGACGCCCCAAGTTGTTTAGGGGACCCAAAGCGTCAAGGTTCTCTACTCTAAAACCCCTGCTAAAACAACCTCGCTTGAAGCGTGAAATAAGATCAGGAATTCACCAGCGAGCTTGTCCGGGTGTCGCTTCAGATAGTTGATCGTGAACTGATCAGCCTTGACGATGCGGAAGCGTCGCCCTGCTGCTTGCACGATGCTTCCGAGACCGAGGTCCTCAAGCCCGTAGTACTGCGGATCGCCGCCGCCGAGGAGTGGCGCGGCTGGTTTCTGTAGCCGCATTCTGCGCAGGAACTTGCCGCCGGGAACGCCCGAGTTGGGAAGCGGCTTCTCCTGAATGCCGATCGTGTCGTCGGACGGGTAGAAGCAGACGATGAAACTGCGTTCCTTGTCCAGAGCAAGGTCCGAGTCCTGCACGGAAGAATCCGCGTTGGAGCGTGCGACAGGTCACGCTTGAGTCTTGACCCACGCACAACTCGCGTGGCGTCATGACGTCATGTGACCCGACTTCAAGTTAGGGTGTCATGTCATGTCACTTGACGCTGTCATGTCATGTCACAATACCACGTGGCACTGCGATGTCACGTGGCGTCACGCACAGGGCATGTGTCCAGCTCATTCGCGGCACATTCTGTGGGTTTATCAGATATGATCGAGGCATATGCTTAGAGCTGTTCCTCCTACCTTTGACATTTGAGCCAGTGTGTTCGGATCTGTAATGTTCGTTATTCATAGCTGTGGGGGACATGCCGTGAATTAATATGCGCCCTATGATGTGTAAGTAAGCCACTCGAGTCGGTGTGACAACCCGGATAGGTGGTTGAGCGAAACGGGATGGCTATTGAGGATGGGCCCAACTTTTGCCGTTTTTGAAATTCGGCATCGAATCTGCTGATTCGGTAATCCGGCCTTTTAGAGCGCAGCTCTTAGGGGCCCGTTCCCGGCTTGAGCGGCGTCGCCGTCGCCGTAACCAAGGTCATCCCAAGGTCACGTGACCCCCAAGGTCACGTGACCCCTCCAGGTCACGTGACCCCACGTGACTCCCAAGGTCACGTGACCCCTCGAGGTCACGTGACCCCTCCCAAGGTCATCTCAAGGTCACGTGACCCCAAGACCCCACGTGACCCTTTGAAGGTCACGTGACCCCCGTCACGTGACCCCTCTGAGGTCACGTGACCCCCGAGGTCACGTGGTCTCCTCCCCAAGGTCACGTGACCCCTCCCAAGGTCATCTCAAGGTCACGTGACCCCAAGGTGACCCCCACGTGACCCCCAGGTCACGTGACCCCTCTGAGGTCACGTGACCCCTCTGAGGTCACGTGACCCCCCGAGGTCACGTGACCCCCCTCCCCGAAGTCACGTGACAACCCCCCCCCCCAAGGTCACGTGACCGCCCCCCCCGGAGCATATTAAAGAATGAGGGGAGGAGGAGGGGTCTACCCTCCCCTCAGTACCCTTCACTCCTCCTCCTCAAGAGCTGCGCTCCAATTCGGCGTTACAGGGATTTGTAAACGGCTTTCACTTTTTTTTTTTTTTCCTTTAATGTTGCGAAGTTTTTGTGTATGCTTTTTAACAAGAAATATAGGGCAAGCGATTATTGCCTTCATTTTTGTCCGTAAAGCCGGGAGTAATTCTGAATGAGGCGGTTGAACAAATTTAAACCGCTGTGCCATATAAGTATAAACCACATGTAATCGATCTGGCGAGCGACGAGACAAGCGACGGCGACCCGCTTCGCTATCGCTCGGTCACTCACGCGACGAGGCAAACAGCATGAAAGCGACGCGAGCAAGCGACCAAGGCGATGAGCGACGTTTTCTAGAAATCCAAAAACCGAGCGACGCGGCGAGCGACAGGGAGAAATTCCAATTGTCGTCAGTGTATTTCGTCGCTGTCGTTCGTCTCGTCGCTCGCTAAATACCTTAGACGCGGTTCAGCCTTTATGCTTTAGAGCGTTTAGTTTAGGAGCGGCCACAATCCTATTCGGGAAGCCTGACTGTGTACATTGACGAACTGAAAACGGTACCAACAAGAACATATTCGAGGATCGTCCGTCGAGCCCGATATCCGTAACAAGTTTCTTCCTCGGCGCACTTAACCTCGTTTACCAACAGTAGAGTTTTAGTGTCGCGTATAGGAGCAAGTGCTGTGCGTTACCGTTGCGTGCCCCACTCTGCGCATGCGCGTCGTCGCCATGCGCCAATCCAAGACCGCAGTCTGGGCTACGCGCACGTGCAGTGTGGAAAACGCAACAATGCTCACGTACGCTCGCATACGCAATACGTGCTAAAACTCAATCTAATCACTTGGCTCATTCCAAGCGTGTCAGTGCATTAAAAATTCAACTGCTTATAATTTAAAACAAAATTAATGTTGACGTCACACTTTCATTTCCGAGCGCTGTTTTTTAACCGAATTTACTTATATGTTAGGCCTCCAAGACCGAGCGTCTAACTATCGGCTGCATATATACAATTCCAGCGCTTATCACCCGAGCGGAAAGTGCCGAGTCACTGGGTTGTGCACGCATGCGTGGCGCCTGATATCAAGAAAGCTACTGCGCATGCGCGCGTTCCACGGCCGGCGCAGTCGACAAAAATAGAAGATTGTAGAAGATCACTGGGAGTGACGTCTTTTGGAGGCTTCTGCGAAATCGACGGCACCCCGAGGTAGAACATAAAGCTAAGTGTAGTGCAGGAGCCTTCAGCCTTCTCGAGCGAATCAGATATATTCACTGCGGTCCAAAGACAATCCTGTGAAAGTACGTTCAAAAACACGCGACGAAAATCACTATTATGGTCCGCAGTCGTGAAGGTAATCAACCAGCAAAGTAATCAGAGACAGACGCTTCGGCCCGTGCGAGCGTCAGGTGGGGCCCCTCACCAGGGCTGCTTGGAAGCGGAGCACGATGCCCTCGTTCTCCAGACTCTGCCGGCTGTCCTTGCGCATCCTCCGGGGGGTGATCCTCAGCACCGACTGGAGCGTGTCTTCCGGAGAACCGAAGCCGTTGTACGGGGGAATGCGCTGCAAATGCCACGCGGAGTCTGACACAACGTTGGAGAAATAAAACACCCGCGTGTTACAAGGACACTGACTACCCCCCCCCCCCCCCCCCCCCCCCCCCCCCCCCACACACACACACCCTTTTTTTGTTTCCTCTAAATTTGTTTTTAAGTGTCTAAATAATAATAAAAAAAATTACGTTGCGAGACTTATTTTGAGTTATGAGCTGTTCCGAAACATGCGTCTATTTCTGGGTGGACATCTTAAAATAGAACCGTGTATTTCAGAATCGATCCAAACTCAAACTGTGTCTCGCAATTAACGAACATACTGCGATAAAAATTGCCTTGTCGGGAGAAACCTTAAAAAATTGGGTTGTGTGTATGTTTATACAGCCTAGAACTTGGTCTGCCTCACAGGGGCGACTTGTCTCCCAGCTGTAGATGAGCCATTTAGCCAGTGCAGTACAACCGCTAGCCTGGGGTCTTTAACGTGCACCACGCAGTAGTGATACACGACCGCACGCCGGTACGATGCTCATCCAGATCGAAACGGGCAGGGGTGGGGATTGAACCCAGGATCCTGGGTTCTGCAGCGCGAGCTTTCGCTGAACGTGCTCCGAGCTGGTGTGCGCTAGCCCACTCGGCCACCGATCCCCCGGGAGAAACCTTACTCCCTGACACATGTGTGTCCCATACGGACAGCTAAGGGAAAATGATTTATTGTGAACTCCGCAGTGTCTTTTGAAGCACAGATTCCATTGCAGTTCCAAAAACGCTGAGTCGTAAACTGTGGCGTGATATGCTGCACATTTTTGCGAATTCCAGCAAGCGATGTCGCGACCCATTGCCTAATTTTATACTGCTGTATCGAACGACCGGCCAGTATATACTGAATAACTAGGGGCAGCTTATTGGCCGCCCGAAAAATCTTTGCCAACACCGTACGGACTTGCCGTATACCCACGTCATACTGATAGACCTAAAAACAAGTCAAGGCAAACCTGCTTGGGCCTTTCTTCTTCTCTAACGTCGACGTCAACGACGTTGAAGTGCGTCACGCCGAGCGTCTCGCGGTAAAAGTTCTTGGTGAAGTCGTCGCAGTCGTAGATGAGGAAGCTGCGGCCGTAGATGTCCAGTCGCTTTCCTGGCTCCAGGTCTTCGGGACCGATGTAGTCGTCCTGGTTCCTTTCGTGTTCGTACTGGTAGAACAGGCCTGCATGTAGTATACGTCCTCGAAGGCTTAAAACCGCAACGCTTATACATCATACAAAAGACACGGTATTCACTGCAGACATGATGAGGAAGGTAACTGCGGGCACGCCTCACGGATGTTCAAAGTATGTTCATGCTACAAGCATGACTACAGATAGTCTTCGTATGCCCAATGTGACCTTCATACAAGGAAGAGACATGCCTCTGCGGACAGTGTCTGCGGAGTCCAGGCTGTTTTTATTGTGGTGGATTAGCAGTGTAGAATACTGAGGAACCTATACAGGAGCGAAGCACCTCCAAAAGCAGGAGTTGCGTTTTACGCAGAAAGTGCCGGAAGCTCTCTATTGTCCGTACTGTGATGCGACGCAGTCAAGAGGGCCTCAGCTAGTTTAGGATGGCCAAAAATAGGTGGCTCATCGACGAGAAATTTTCTTTACGGAATTTGGATTAAGTAGAAAACATCTGCGTAACATTTTTTTTTTTAGAAATGTAGTTATATATATTTATACATATACTTGCGCGGGGGTAGTGCTTTTGTGAGAGACCAGCGCTTAGCAACTTTTGGCTCGCGATGAACGGTGGAATCGATCGCACATATATTATAGGTCATAATGTATAGGTCAGCATTGAAGTGTAAAATAATTTGTGAGGTATTAATTCGACGATCAGATCAGGACCGTCTCTTTCCTTCCCGCGTATCATATGATGCCGTCAAAAAGTCATCGCACGCTTTGGCCCCCTTGATTGTATTCGGCTCTCTTGTCCATTTCCGGTTGATATCCTTTCAAGTTTTCCCCTAGAGCCAGAAAACATAAACTATAAAATGGCCTGATCATTCGTTGATGGTCACTTTTAACTGTTTTATGTAGCAGATGGTCTCACGATAACATCCACAACGCTTAGCATTGTCTTATAAAATCACCTCACGGACGTCATCCTATACCACCTAGAAGATAAGGCCTACGCGTGACGTCATCGTTAGTCAATCCCCTACCCACCCTAAGAGGCAAACACGCTGGAGCTCTATGAGAGACGCCGGCAAGCGGCAGACGCGTTGTGAGACGATGCGAGACGCGCTGCAGCAGCGATGCTGACGCAAGCCAGGCGACGCTGCGTGATTCCACTAGTGATGACGTATGGAAAGGGGAGGGGGGTATTCCGTCATCAGGCTCGTCCCTGCAAAGGGCGTTTCAATCCCACCTTTGTGTTCCTGCACACGCGGCACCCTCTGCCGTCCCAGCAGGATTGGCGCCAAGTCTCTGGTTTCCATGGGTCGGTGCATCTCCCTCAGGTCCAGAGTGTCGTCCACCAAGAAGTACTGCGCCGATCGAGAGTAAAAAAACAGTAACACTATTCTGAGCGTTGCTGTGTGCAAAGTCAAGAAACATTATCGCAGTGTTGGGGAGCACTCCTAGTACATTGTACTTGCATAACCTGCCACTCCCGTATCCATGTTTTGGTTACCCAACCTTAAAATATTTTGTTTTGTTTCGGGACACCAAGCCGGAGCAAGTACTATTTCTACCTTAATACCGCACTGCAGGAATGCTTTACATTTCCACATTTACTGTGATAGACTGTAGCTCAACTATGCGGTCTAGGGGGCTGTATGTATAGTAACTTAGATAGGGTAATTCTGTTACCACAACATTCATTCTATAATCACCAGAGTTGGGAATGAGCGTGGGAACGGGCCTTGAGTACATCGTGTTTGTTGGTTTGGGCACAAGGACTCGGGAGAACGGGCAAATTGGTGTGTGCGTGTTTATACAGCCTGAACTTACTCTGCCTCAACGGGCGACTTGTCTCTGAGCTGTAGATGAGCAATTTAGCCAGTGCGGTACAACCGCTAGCTTGGGGTCTTTAACGTGCGCCACGCAGTAGTGATACACGACCGCACGCTGGTCCGATGCTTCTCCAGATCGGAACGGGAAGGGGAGGGGATTGATTAAAAAAATACGAAAGAGTTAGACAGAGAGGACGGACAGGATCCCAGTGTCCCTGGATTTTGCAGCGCGAGCTTTCGCTCCACGTGGGAAAACTGGCAAAAGACAGATACAGTGTGCCTGACGATGTCGTCCCCCTTTACATCGCAGCAACACTCAACAGAAAACAGTAGCGTGTTTCTGTACAGACCTTTTCTCTGGTTCACTGACTCTTGGGTCTATCATCCGAGGCAGAGTTGGGTGCGTACCCACCTGGAGCACGAGCTTCTTCCGAGAGTGAGGACTGACTAGAAGACCGTCTTCGACGCAGAAGAAGCGGAGGACCTGGCGGTCGTACTTGAGGAACTTCCACAGCTTGTCCCTATTTGTCTTGGTCGTGTGCAGCTTGCGCTGCTGGTACGTGCCGCGGCCCGCCGTGTACGGATCCTGGGGCAGAGGCTCGGGGGACCCCACCGCAATGCCCTGGTCTCGAAGGTAGTCCTGCCAAGGTGCATGAGCGACCCACGGCTCATCAATGGTCCTCGCAATTGCGGCCAAATTATTTGCGTAAAATCCTTGTGTTCCGTCCTCTTTTTCTATGTGAATCTTGCCCTTGCATAGGAGAAAAATAATCCGCATATAAACATATATTTCTGCCTCCTATACGTCATCGGTATTCCGAGCCAACTCTTTATTAGGGACTTTTAGCAAACCGTTATGTTCCGCGTAAAGCACTACCTGAACCTTTGAATGATGCTTTTAAGCTTTAGAAAACCGGTAACTTTCTAAAAGTTCCTATTGATATTAATGCTCCTGTGTTCAGCCTCTTAGCATGGCATTATGCGATACAGTCTATTTCTCTTGTTTGTAGACGCCGTTCAATAGCAGTACGTTCTCGGTGCACAATATATATATATATATATATATATATATATATATATATATATATATATATATATATATATATATAATGAGGATTACTCTGGGTGCAAGTTTCCCCTGTACAATATTTTTTTTCTTCAAGGTTTGTTTTTGCATTTTAACACTTCCTAAAATGCATTTTTCAATAATTTCGCGCGCATGAATTGCAGAAGTTGCAGCGCATACGTACCCTTGTAAACTTGTCGCAGTTGACGATCTTGTACGTGATGCCATAGATAGAAATCCTTTCGCCAATGTTGAGGTCGCTCCAGTGGAAGTGTTTCCCGTCTGGCTTGCGGATTTTGTGTCTTCGCACTATGCAACCCTGAATCAATGAAGAGGAACGCTGAGGTTACAGCACGACATACGTCTAACGAACTTACATTGCAAAATATCCAGATTGTTATAATAAAGTATGGCAAGATTATCGATATATTAAAAAATGAATACTGAGCGTCCTTTGTACACTTAAAACTTCATTTTTTATGAAGGTACGTGACACTTTAGCAAGTTACTTATTTGAGAATTTATCAATATTTCGATTTAGCATTGATTTAGTTTGCCTTTTTAATTGCACTAGATGGAAGTTACAGGTACAAAACATACGAGAACACCTGAATATATCTTCGGAAACTGGGGCTTTACTCGGACAAATATACCAAATGTATGACTCCAATTAATTGCCAAAATTAATTATTCCACCAAAGTAAAAGAAAAGGGTTCAACATTAGTTTGTGAATCGCAGTAGCCCATATGAGATCTTCAAGATATAATATACAGGTACTTTATTGCGCTTTATAATTTTGCCCAGAGACAAAAAAAAAAATCAATATTGCATTTGTGGAACACATCACCAGAACGTCTAAAGGGCGTAATATCGCGAGGAAGGCAGTTACCTTCCGGTTTTTCAATGTCAACTTTTCGCTTATATAATGTCTTTAAACCGTGTCTCGAGTCAAGACAATTTGTAGGCACCAGTAGGCACATCAGGGAAACATAATTTTTTGAGGCAATGTATATTATTGTTTTCATAAGTATTAAAGTATAATTATATGACGCCAGAACAATACCTAGTCTGTATCATAATATCGGATGGGATATATCCCAAAATTCTCGGTAATATAGCTCTCATACAAAAGTAAACCGAATGATAACTATGCCCACACACCGTCCAGTGCAACGTTAACAGAATGCTTTATTTTAGGTCTACAATATTATGTTTGCAGCTATGGAAAGCAAATTTCGCCGCACTAATTTTATAGCGTAAGCGGAATTGGTGAGAAAAAAAAAGAATGTGGACAAAGCGAGATATATCCCACCGTCCCGAGTCTACCCCGGCCTTACAGTATGCGCGCCTGTAACTTTTTCTTTTGAGAACAATGTATTTGATTCGTGAATACTGTCTTTAATAAGCCTCAGGATACGACCTCGTACATAAGGGAGACAGGTCGTGCGTCGTTCCCACACATGCCTGGTTGAGTCCGCTGTTCTCCTGCTTGGGTTCCCGGACGCAGAGGCTGTCGTCTTCGAGGAAGTAGAAGATGTCCACGGGGCGGACGCGGTACTCTTCCAGCGGGGAGTATTCGATCTCTTCGGTGAAGAAACCCTGGAAGTGCAGCACCTGCACCACCCATGGATCGTCGGTGTACCGCGTTCGGCTGTCCCTTCGAGCTTACGAAAAAGCGCGTCTAAATCTACAGAAATCTGCAATGTATTTAGAGAACATCTTCGGGTGTATCTTTGGACAGGCGACAAGAAGGACAAAGCGTAATTATTTATTTAGTAGCCCGTTAACACCCGAGAGCCACGCTACTCGGCTCATGGAGGCTAATAAAATGTCAAAAATCACGCGAAAAAAAAAAATTGACCTTATCCTTAAGTAGAAGCTCCGCCTTCAGTACGAGCTCGCCGCTAGCTTCCTCAGTGCTTTGGTTGCGGGTGCCTGCGCGTTCACACTTGTGTTAGCGAGGACAGAAAGCTCGCTCTGAAGGTGGTGCTTCTACTCAGCTTGAGATATATGCGAAGCGCAAGTTCGTCTGCTTCTTTTGCAAGAATTGCGGTGACGTCAGAAAGACGCCGAGGTCTGATTGGCTAGGATTGAAAGAATAGTGGGTAGACCTCGATGCTAGCTGCCTCGTGGTCTACCCACTATCCTTTTAATCGGAGCCAATCAAAGCTCGGCGCTCTGACGTCCCTGCGTGCTCGCGTCTCCTCATCTCTCTCACCTTTTCGGAGCGCACTTCGATCTCGCAACGTCGGTTATTTGGAAGTCCGTTTGATCCCTGTTGTTAAACAGTAGTCAGTAGAAATGCTGAAGTGCTGTTCCGCATTTCTGTTGGAACAGCATTTTTTATGTTTAAATGGTAAAAACATATGCCTGTATTTTAATAGACAGTTCACGTTGATGTCAGTGACGATTGTTTTCTTACTCTAGTACTATATTACTACCGTGGGTCGTGTTTGTTTGTAAAAATGCAATAAGCACTATAAAAAGTCGAAATTGGAATTTTTTTTTACGCCAGTTATATTTATGTTTAAAAAAGCGCAGCAGGCATCAAGGTGGCCGTAGTGTTATTGGCTGATGAGTTCCGATATCTACACTTAGTTTTACCAGCGCACATGCGTGTAGTAATACCTGCCTGACATATATTACAGCTCTAAAGCCAGAGTCACACTGGCCATACATCATGCAAAAAAAAAAAAAAAAAAAAAAACAGTCTGCATACAGATTCGAACGCGAGACGCCGCGAGATCCGTGCTTCGAATGCCGTATGGCAACGCGTGTTCAAGAACAAAACTTGGCACACGGCAATCGAATCACGCATATTGCGGCGACTTGTGTTTGCAGACTGTCTTTTGTATAATGAATGAGCAGTGTGGGGGGGAACCCGGCTTAAATTTAGCAGTCACCCCGCACAGGCGAAACTGCCCTATATACATTAATGCCTCTGGTTCGCATGGTGCGATTTTACTTTCGATTTTGTGTTTAAAACATCTCCGGAGTGGCGAAAAAAAAAGCACGGTGGAAGTCGCGACGTATCTGACGGTTCAAGACTGAAATTATCAGCAGGAGCTATTTAACTTTCATCTTTGTTTGTTTCAGCAAATCCGAGAATCTGTTTATCGCTATCTTTAGTCGAAAGGAATCACTGGCGGTTCTGAGATTTGACCACACTCATACAGACAACTGTCCCCTTTATACTATTACGTTTATCCCGAACGAAGCGATCCCTGGGCCCAGGCGCGTGGTTAAAAGCGAACTCGAGTTTCGTCGAACAAAAGTAATTTACCCGAGTATACGCACTACCACTACCAATTAACTCGAAACGCACGAACGCCTGGGAAATCCTCCTCGAACGCCATCGTTTCGCTCTTTGATGACTGCGACAGAAAGCAGAAAAAAAAACGGTAAAACAAAAAAGGGGCAGAAACCAAAACAACTCGCTCATTCCTGCAGTAGTTCACCCGACAGGCGGTTTGATTTAAATAATATAGGTATATGGCGCCCTTTCTCTCTTCCCTCTCCTGTTCTTTCTACTATGGCGGATAAAAAAGGGGAGGGGGGAAGGGGGGGGGGGGGGGGGAGGGGGCGTGTGTGCACGCGCGGCATCTCACGCTTCCGTGAACGTCATACGGGAGAGAAGCGAGCGCGGCTTCGCTCGGCCACGCGTGACACGAATCGATTTCGTCGGTTAGTGCTCCAGCACACGCGGTCGACTGATCGCCGAAGCCCGGTGCCCCGCGACGGACCGTCTCGCCCGGGGCTGTTCCCTCCGCTGCTCACGGCCCTGAGGAACTTGACCGCCGCTGACGGGGGCATTCCGCCGGACGCATGAGCAATCGGGTGTCGCCGCACATGCCTCTACATGCGAGACACACATCGTGTAAGGGCACGATCACGGGTTCCGCGAAGCAAAGGATCGTTAGAACCTCTCGGTTTGTGTGTGCCGGAAACATTGGGGCGGTATGACTAAGTGCATCCTAGAACCGACCATGGCGTGTTCAGAGACTCGGCTTAGAGCCATATATATCTTTTTCATCGCTCTAAGCTGACAGGGAATTGATATGGGCTCGCCAGTCTAATCAATCGCCTGCCTGTTAACGCCTGAGCCACCCCCTGCTCGAAGGGCACGTGAACCGGGCGCTGAAGACGTCATCAAGCGGTGTCAAACCGAAAGACCGACGGTTGACTGGTCGTGCCAATGCTGACGCAAATAAGTTCCTAGAATTCAACATGAGGCTCTGGCGTCACGTCGCTGAGGTGGCGCTGCTGTCTGCAGGCCGCAGACGCTTCACTTCACGCGAATTTCCTTTCTATACGCACGCGCAGTCTGTGCACAAACGAGGGCTTGATTTTATACAGCGCATTGGCCTTTGATGCAGTATAATTTCACCAAAGGTCTTGTTGTTTCGCCAAACATGACATAAGATGTTGTTTTGTCCCCATAATTGTTTTTATACTTCCCAACTGGAAAAAAAAATAATTGAATTGCCTTTGCTAAATTTTTAAAGTCTCGTTTGGTTGCGTTTTAATTAAAATTACAGGACTACACTTAAGACTGATTACGGTGTAGGAAGGCGAAAGCATTATAGTTTCTACCAATAATGGGTGACGTTTCCACCATTATTAAAGTTTAGGGCGACGTCGAGGACGACGTCCTAGAACTAGACGCCAAGTATACGGCGTCTACGACGACGTCGAGGACGACGCCGACGACAAACTCTCGGACGACCTCTAGGGCGACATCAAGAACGACTTCAAGGACGACGTCTAGGACGACATCGAGAACGACGCCTAAGGAGGACCCCTAACGAGGCTGCGGCGTATTTGCATGAGCGACCCCGTTTGCCTGCGGAAGCCGCCGTTCGACGCTGCTGCCGATGTCGAGGCCACAGATGTAGACGCGGTCGCCTCACAGTCCATCGCACGAAGCACACAACGAGCACAAGTGAAGCCCGAAGCGCACCTTTTGCACACGGCGCTCAGGCGGTGACATCACGCTGATGACGCTTGATGACGTATTTTTATGTCCATCTTTCGGGCACAACGACAACGCTTGTTTTTCACGTAATGTGACACGTGGGGTCGTCCTAGAGGTCTAGGGGGACTTCTAGGACGACCGCAAGGATGACGCCAAGGTAATGGGACAAGTAGGGTCGCCCATTGAGCGGCGCGTGCCGCTCAATCGTATTTTTATCGGCTTTTTCGACGCTTTTTCGCTCAATAAAAAAGTAAAGCTATTGCCATTAAAGAAAAATAGAAAAATCGGACAGTTTGGGAAGCTTTAAATAAAGTTAAAAGTTAACAGAGCTAATGGCGCTGCGCCAGCCCTGAAGCATTCGACCGCACTGGGTAGGGGCTTTCTTTGCAGGGACAAACACCATTATCTCGCTGTATAAATGTCAAGAAGATAAAGATGGCAACGGAGTGCTGGGCGATACGTCCACTTCGTCCGACGCCAGCTCAGGTTTTCTCCGCGTGAAACGGGAAATCACTTTTGGGAAGGCAACTAACCGACTTCACCTTTTACGTGTAGCGGTTTGTGTTATAGGTCATTTCAGTAATGACACAAAATACGTAATTCAAACCCGGCGGTGGAAACTCGTCGATGCAAGCATTCATGTGCACCATATGCGATAATTAGTTCATTCGCAAATAGGTAATGAAATTTAATATAGTTCAGAATTCCCCAGTCTAATCTCTCCATTCTCCACCTCGGTTTCCATTTGGCATCTTGATATCTAATCCGATCTGTCCCGTGGTGGTAACTATACTCGTCCTGTGTTGTGTGTTCCTTCTCTTAAGTCTTCGTTGTTGCGCGTTGTTACACCTATATGCCATGTTAAACTTACACCAACTAGCCGATCTTTCTACTTCGTTAAAACAAATGATTTTTTTTTTTTTTTTAATTTTGAGCTGAAAAATAATAGAAATAAACAAAAGTATTGCCGAATTATTTTAACCGGGTGCACTCCCTGCATGAGGGCGAAGTCTGAGCTTCCGGTGACCTGCATTTGATATTTGAAGTGTTGTCCCGCGTTTGCTCACACCGGGTGTGGGCACTACGCAAGAGGAATAGACAAACAAACAAACAAAGTTGCGTGATCTGAAGCGTCTGCGCACGTGCCGCGCCGACGACAGCGCCACCGTAGCGGGGTCACTCCAGAGACGCGTGTTGCTCTACTCATGGTTTCAAAAGAATCATGTCGCGAGCACACTGCGAATGCATCAAGAAAAAAGACAGTCTGTAAACAGTGTGAGGCATTCCTTGTATAAAGATGTTGTCACATATTAATCATGCAAAAAAAAAAAACTGCCTGCAGACATGTTTTTAAGCACATGTATGAGGCAAACACATGCTTCGAACATGCTCGAGGCGTGCATACGTAGATAATTATGTCATCATGCCTGCTGCGAACATCGTGCATTTTGTGAGATGTATAGGAGCAGCGCGGCATGCGGCTTCAAGCGACGAAAACAGCGAGGACCAAGGCGGGAAGTACCTTTTTGTCGTTGACGGCGAAGTTTGGCAGGAAGGTGAGCTTGCTGACGGGCCTCCTCCTCCGGTGCACGTGCTCGTCGGCCACCTCGTCCCTGGCACCGTGCTGCCTCCGGTCCCCCTGGAGGGCCACCGAGCCCGGCAGGGACCGGGCCACGGCCATGCCGCTCCGGAAGTCGAACGTGTGTCGCAGCGGGTAGCGGCTCTTCTGGAAGCCCCATCACGTTCAAGTGACCATGCAGTTCAAGCATCGTCACGTCGGGAGGAGGGACCGTACATGTTTCACATCGGACACATCAACGTTTACCCACGAGTCGAGCCAGTAGCGCCTAGAAGACGAAAGCCTTCACATGACGCCATCTTTAGTGGATACCCGACCTGCCTTAAGCGGAAAACACGCCGAAGCTCTGACGAGAGGCGTCAAAAGTCGGCGGACGCATCCACCTTGGTGTCGCCGCATGTTAGCGTCGCACTCATTGTGACACGCTGTAAGACGCACTTGCGAAGATCGCAACCAATAGGATGCGCTGCGAGTATCCACGAGTGGGCCCTCGCAGCGCCTAGAGGGAATGCAGACAAAGACGGCTCTGGAAAGCTATAGATTAAACAAAGCAGTTATTGCCAAAGAAAGCATTTATGACAATTCTAGAGGAAGCTCATTGTTGTTTGAGGCGAGGACGGGTGTTCTGCGAACCAGAACATACAGAGCGAAGTACCAGGAAATGGATACAGTGTGCACTGCTTGTGGAGAGGAGGACGAGACGGCTGAGCACCTGATACTCTGCTGTTAAGGGCTTCACCCTATGCCTACCGAAGACAACATAGATTTAATAAAGGCATTGGGTTTTAGAGACAGCGAAGGAAAAGTGGATTTCAAGACAGTAGAGATTACCAAGCAAAGATTAAGTGAATGGTGGCAGAAAGCGGGAGAAAACTAGGTATTTTCTTATTAACTGATGGCAAGGGGGTTTTATAGCCTCACTTTCTTTGCAGTGCGGAGTGAATAAAGTTTTCAGATTTAAATATTCTAAGCTTAAATGGTAAAACAAAATGGCTAGGTGGCGTAAGCTACCGCCCGATCCAAAGGGCTCAGCCGAATAATCCATCCATCCATCCAGTGATTAGTTTGGTTTTGGTGTTGGTGTAGCGCCATACCATGTGCGCTCGCGGCTTTCAAAAGACTCATTTTATTTTGTTGTTTCTTTTATCGTGTAGGTGAACGAACACACATCTAAGATTGCTTTCCACGTCCAATCCCCCTAATCCCTAATCGTCTAATCGTTTTGATCTAAATGAGCATCGTATACCGGCGGGCGCTGTCGCGAATATCGCTACTGCGCGACGCACGTTAAAGGGCACTGACAGGTCAAAATCATATTTATTTTTTTAATTATTCGAAACGATTTAAAACAATGCCTGGACAAAATTCTAAACTTGGAAACTCAGTATTTGTCAAGTAAAAAAAAAAAAAAAAAACCCAAAAGCCAAATTTGAAGTTTCCGCGCGATCCGCACCCGCGCAATGACGTCGAACATTGAGTCGTCCTGCAACTCGAGTTTTTCTCACGCCTCCGAACCTCCTCGACCCGAAGTGTGGTGTTCGGCCGCGGCCCGGCGATCAACCGCTCCACGCGTGGCGTGCCGCCTATCGCTTTTAGCAGGCGACGCTTCACTTTCGTGTTTGAAGATGTTTTAGGGCCCTTTCAGCGATATCAAAATCTTTGAAACGGTGTGAGGTCGAAGAGGATGCGCAGTGGACTTTCGTTAGCGACGTGAGGAGCCACGTCGCGCCGGTTCTGCCTGAAAGGCTGCCCCGACTGCGTACACAACCAAAGCTGCTGTACACAGACACCAAACCCAGTTGTTTTGACCGTTTGACGATTTGCTTTTCGAAGTCTGAGTGTTTGTCGGTTACCTAAAATGGATAATTCGTCCGACTCCCCGACTAACCGATCATCTTCAGTGCTACATGTGCCGAGCGCCGCAGCGCCGCTATGAGGCAGCATCACTCCGGACTCTGATTTTCGGTATTTCAAAAAGAAAATGGCCGTAGTGCGTGCGCAATTTTATTAAAAAGCACGTCTTACGAAAGCCGTTATTAAATATTATAGAAATGTTGCCTACAATGCTTCTAAAATTTCATATTCGATTTCGTCACAAAATAAAAAGAAGCGAGGAGGTGAGAAGGGGAAGAGAAAAAGGCCAAAGATAAAAAGGCGGGCGCGCGCCTGTGAAACTTTGTTTATTTGCGTTGCAATACATCAAGGATAGATCGGCCTCACGCTGGCTAACCACAAACATTCAATACGTTTTTTTTTTTTTCATGCCAAATTTTTTGTCGATTTATATTGTAAAGCTTTTATAGAACTGCGCTGCGAACGTGGTTACCAATAATGACACTGGGAGGAAGAGGACACAGTAAGCGCAACTAATAACTGCCCCAGTATCATTTCTTGGTAATCTTTCGTAGCGAACTTAAAGCATGAAAAAAATGAAAGACGTTTACAGATCTCTGTAATGCGAAAATTCAGCGCAGCTTTAGAGGAGGAGGAGGGAAGGGTGCGAAGGGGAGGGTATACCCCTCCTCCTTCCCGCACCATCCCCTCCTTCTTCTCCTAGCCTCCTCCTCTCCTCTTCCCTCTTATCCTCTTCCCTCCGCTTCCTTCTTCCGTCCACCTCCTTTCCTCCTCCTCTCCTCCTGCCGCTTAATTTGTTCATGAATGACGTGACACGAAATCGTGACGTCATTTTCCCCGCTAAATTTAGCGGGGAAACTGAATTGGTGTTGAGCTAACGTGACGCCAATTTTCCCGCTAAATTTAGTAGGGAATAGAATTGCTGTTGAGGTCACGTGACGTTAATTTGCCCGCTAAGTCTAGCGGAGAGGCTGAATTTGTTCATAGGTGACGTGACACCAAGTCATGTGACGTCATTTTCCTCGCTAAATTTAGCGAGGAATTGAACTGCTGTTGAGGTCACGTGACGTCAATTTTTCCGCTAAACTTAGCGCGGTTACGCCGACGCCGCTCAACCCGGAAGCGGGCGCATAAGAGCTGCGCTCTAAAAAATAACCAACTATCCCAATCGCCAACACTGATGGACGCATTTTGAAGTTATCCTCTGGAAGAACGGCGTGCCTTTTATTCGTTGGCGTGACGTGTTGTTTTGCAGATCGGACAAGTACTAAACGACAGATCCCGTGTCGCTGTTCCAGCTTTTTACTCATTTTGAGCCAACTTCCAGTCTTCGAAATAATCCTTTTTGTTCCTTTCTCGTCTAACAAGCTTGAACAAATCGGAAGAGGAAAATAGAGGAGGCAGCCGCAAGAGCACATTGTCGAGAACAGTTTTGGTCTCTTCACTAAAAAAAAAAAAAAGAAAAAGAAATAGAAAAAGCCAAATTACAACAAAGTATTTCGTTTTGTCGATCACATGGGGTCAAGTCTCCGTCCTTTTCTTTTGGGCATAATGCGATACGCCATACAGGGTGAAACAAGGAGACGCCAGGCTCTTTAAATCGACCGGAAAATTCGGTTTCTTAACCTATCGCGCTACGACTTTGTGCAGCGTTGCCCACAGATGGTGCTTTTCTTTTTTTTTTGTAAAATTTGCAAAGAGCGAATTTACCTGAGGAAAAAGTAAAGAAAGAAAAAGGCTTGGCTCCTATGGAAACGCAGCGACGCCACCGGTCTGCGAACAACACGGCGCCGTTTCGCACGGGAGACAAGAGATGGCGCAAGCGGTCGCGACGCCAACTGCCGCCAACGAACAAGCAGACGACGCCGAGAGCCGGCCCTTTTGCAGACAAGGAACTGCAGTTCCTTACCGTTACCGCGCCTGTCTTTTTTGTTTCTGCGACTGTCGCCGCCTGCGGAACGCGCGCCGCTTTTGAGTCGAAAAGGTCGTCTGCTAAAAGGGCCTGCTCTCGGCGCCGTATGCTCGTTCGTTGGCGGCGTTTGTTGCGCCATCTCTTGTCTCCTGTGCGAAACGGCGCCGTATTGTTTGCAGACCGGTGGCGTCGCTGCGTTTCCATAGGAGCTAAGCCTTTTTCTTTCTTTACTTCTTCCTCAGGTAAGTTCGCTCTTCGCAAATTTTACAAAAAAAAAAAAAAAGCACGATCTGTGGGCAACGCTGCACAAAGTCTTAGCGCGATAGGTTAAGAAACCAAATTTTCCGATCGATTTAAAGAGCCTGGCGTCTCCTTGCTTCACCCTGTAGATCGGCCGTCGGCGTACATCAGACAAGGCTGGCGGCGCATGCGCGCCTTGTCTCCATGGTTCAAGGTCTTGTGGCGGATTACGGAGCGCTATGCGGGTGCTTAACGGGCTGCGGAAACGGTCTACTACAACCAGGGCCAATTTAAGTTGGTCCTGCCTAAAACTCCCTATCTTTTCAGCCAGGTCCACACGTTTGCATCTATTATGTCGACTGCGACTGAAACGGCAGCGACGACAGAATCACTGCGACAACGAACCACGTGACATCCGATACAAATTGTAACAGCGCGAATCAATCACGAGTAAAAAAGAAAAAAACATCCGCTTTCATATTTTTTGCCTTTTGTCTGTGATTGGCTCATCGTGAGCGACGTGACTGACTGACCGATCTGCTTTTTGAGCTGATGGATGGCAAGCGGTGTAGAAATCACGGTTTCCCTGGTGACTTTGTCGTTGCTTTTGTTTCGGTTGCTATACATTTGTAAACTCTTCGTTGCCGAATGTAGAAAGCTCGTGATGGAGGCGGGACAACTGAAGCTCCTCCTTGCCCTTCTCGCTCTGTCGGTGACTAAAATACTTTTTTTTTTAATTCTCTTATTACCAAGCAATTTTTTTAATTCTATACTCACTTTTATGTATGAAGTTAGTATATGGTAACAGTTTTAGAGCTGCAGTGCATGCCCTTATTATTGTGATATATCAGCTACGTTTCTGCGTCTCTATTTTCTCTGTATTTTGAGACATAGCGTTTGCCCCCTTTTTCTTTGTCTCCGTCTCGGGTTTTCTTACATGTCCAGTAACAACCGTTTCGCGTGTCTATAGTCATGTGGTCTAAAATAATATATTGCTTCGTATTTTTATAGGGTACAACTTTTGCTCTGCCACGCCTCTGATTTTGAGGGGAAATAAACGAATGACTAAAATTAAACACTGTTAGTGGGATCCCGCAGCTAGGGCGAGGAGTACCAAGACGTATCTTGAATTCGTGTGAGCAAATACTGAAAT